AGGGAGAGAGAGGGAGGGAGAGAGAGGGAGAGAGAGGGAGAGAGAGGAGAGAGAGGGGGGGAGGGGTGTCGTGTGCTTTCCCAACGTCGTGATACCCCCGTATTAGGCGGCTTCATGCCGTACCACCACCCGTTGCTGACAGCATTCCTAGGGAAGGAACAATCGTGCTTAGCCTGCCTATTGCTTTTTTTTCTCCCTCTCTTTTTTTCCTCTACTTTCTACCCTGCCTGGGATCTAGATATGACCTCTTCTCTACCCTGTCTCTCTTCTTATTTGATGCCGGAAAAGGATACGAATGACAATTGCTGTGCATGTACAGATTACAGATGTACATATATAAAAAGAAAGCAGCCTTGTTGAATCATAGATGCATACACCCCCCCCCCCAAATCACACGACAATCGTTGCCACTTTCGTCATCGGTAGCTAATTCTGGTCTGGTCCGTCCTCCCCTCCTGCCTTCTTCCCCTACAGCAATGTGGGTCGGTTGATGGTACGGATGGTACGAATGCATCCGACTTCCTGTTTGTTACCTGTCCCACTTTATTTCCCTCTCTCTCTCTCTCTCTCTCTCTGTCGATAACCTCACGGGTTGATAGCGGGTGTGGCAGGCGGTAACTTTTTCCAAGTTGCCTAGCTCGAGAATTTATATCATTATATCATGGCATCATCACCAAGTACCTGGTTTCCACGACTCTGATACTCTGGTAGGCTTAGCATGTAAGTTGGGGGAGTCCGTCCTCGACTCCTCGGGGATCGTTGCCTCCAATTTTCCCACCGTCATCACCGGTCGTTCTCAGAATAATGGTCAAGTTGGATGATTTTTTTTTATTAATCTTCTCTTTTTTTTTTTTTTTTTTTTGCCTTTCTCACGATCGGAAAACTGACGACTCTGGACCCTTGTTTTACTACGGTCGACGACGTAGATATTCGTACGGATGACGTCGTATTCTAGATTTGCGACCTCATACGCCATGTTGCTGACAACTGTCTTGCGTGTGTGCGTCTGTTCGTCTGTTCGTCTGTTCGTCTGTTCGCGTGTACGAGTAATACCGAGTACCGAGTATGGCAGACACTGGTGGTAGTACGGGTAGTACGAGTAGTACGAGTAGTATTATTACGACGACTATGTAGCCATCGTAACGTGAGCTACTGTGACTACTATTTAGGATTTACGAGCAGTGGTCGTACCGGTACCAGTGATATCAGTACCGTACGAGTACGAGTACGCAACAGGGTCGTACTGCATCTGGTTCAGCGGCTTGCCATCGCCCTCTGATGCCATAGTAGCTGTCTCGCCGACGCCCTTAGCATTGCTGATACTGTATTAGTCTGTATATTATTACTCTACTTCGCTCTTCGTACTCTTACTCTGCTGCTACTATCCTACTCTAGAGTCTAGCCTCTACTACATCACAGTCGTAGCCTTGTTCCATGTTCCATTGTCCTTCTCTGCTTGTTCTTCAGGCTCGCGCCATTCCGGCCGCTCCACCGCCCTTGCCCACACCCTTGGCTCCCAGTCCAAGTCCCAGTCTCCGTCTCCGTCTCCCACTCTTCTTCCTTCTTCTTCCCTCTTAATAGTAGTCTCTGACTCTCTAATCCCCAGGGGCCCCGTCATCCCCCCCCCTTTTTTTTTTGGCTCGTACTCAAGACGTTTTACGTCGTACACGCCCATTAAACCTACAAGTCCAACTCTGTTCCTTCTCTCCCCCCTTCTACTTCGTAATACCTCCTCTTCCTTCTTCCTCCCATCCGTCATCCACTGGTAATAATACCTCTCCATCCCTCACCCTTTTTCTCATCATCTTTGTCATCTTCATCCTTTATTTCTCAGCCCGTGACCTTTCTTTTCTTCTTCTTCTTCCTCTTCCTCCTCCTCTTTGGTGGGCCTCGAAATTCATCCTTCTTTCTATTACCTGCTCGCTCGCTTGTTTTTCCCTCAGCCGAAATCGGGCTTATCATTATTAACTCCTTGTCTCTCCTTTTTTTCTTTTCTTTTTTCTCCTGGATCTCACCTTCTCTCGATCTCTCTGGCCAACATCATCGCCACTGACAAATCGTAATCCGGCATTGGTTCGAGTCAAGACGAGAGACGTCGAACGCCACCAGATTTCGGAGACACCCCTTCCCTTCCCACCGCACAACTGAAGTCCGAAGCCTTTTATTTTATTTTATCTTATTTTCTTCGACCAACTGCCACTTCCGATCAGGCCAAGGCCACCCCCCCCCCCCCCCTAACGCCCCCTAACGCCCCCACCCCTTCGTCCATTGCCACCAAGGGTCTAAGCAACGTCAAGGGTTCTTATTCTCACTCAACGCCGCCTCGCCCACCCTCCTGCTTTTTATCTATATTTATTTATATTTATTTTAAAAAGTCCACCTCTTGTCTACCTCAAAGAGAACCCCTCAGTGTTCCTCCCTGTCTCCTACCAGAAGGAGACGCTACCACCACACCTTACGGCACAACCCAAACATTGGAACTCGTCAAATCTTCCGTAGACTGACAACGACATTGCACGCTTTCTCATCTTTCACGCAAGCACGCACACACACACACACACGCACGCACACGCACACGCACACACATACACAACACCCCCCCTCTCAACGGCCATATCAATCTTCTTCTTATTCCCTGATCTTCCTTGTAACCACCGACCGCAATCATGGCCTCATGAGCCCCTACCTTCTCACCCTCCGATAAGCTGCACCTGACTGCTTCTTTAATCTACGCACATCCAACAGAACACCCTGGGTATCACGACTCTCGAGAAAACAACACGACAACAATTGATACCTCTGTCGAAAATGAAGACGGCCACCAAGACGGCCGCGACGGGCACCTCTCACCCCTCCTACTCCCACTCCTACCAGTCTCCTCTCCAGGCACATTCTCCCTCACACAGCAGCCTCCCTCGCTCCTCCTCCCACTCACACCGGGCCCCGAAGCCGTCCCTATCCACCACACCTCTAGCATCGCCGCGATATCCCTACTCCGTCGGCCAAAACTACCCGCCCAGGAACTCGCCGCCGGCTCGTGCTCCCGAACCGCGGCCCTCGAGCCCCAACTACTTCGGCCTGGTCGTCGAGTCTACCAACGACCCCCGAGAGACGTCTCTTCCCGAGAGGAACAACTGGAGCCCACCCTCGTCCTCGGTCAAGTCGTTCGGCGCCGCCATTCCCGCCCAGGTTCCCCTGGAAGCCAACCTCGAATTCGAAGCCTTCAAGAGGCAGGCTGACGCCAACCGGGGCAAGTCCTTTGCCCTCCCGTCAGCTAGCCATGTCCAGTCGGTCGCCAGTGCCGCCCTCGCGCGGCCCCGTCCGCCACGGTGGCACACGCACACGAGCGGTGCCGCTGGCGGCTTCCCGTTTGTCGACTCCGCCGCACCGTCCCACCCTCTGTCGACCAAGATGGACGTCGACCAGGATAGCTTCTATGATTCGGCCTACGTGTCGTCAGAGTCCAAGCGCAATTCGGAGTCGTCGCTCTATCCCATCCAGCTCGGCGGGATGCCTCGCCTCGAGTCCCCAGCCCCCATGGAGAGATCGTCGCTCAGCAGGTCGACCTTGACGCGGTCCGAGGACCGTGATCCGCGAATGTCGGTCATGGAACACAAGGCTGACCCGCCGTCCCCCCCCCTGCACGAGATCACCCGATCCTCCACGTTGCCGACCTCGTTCGACACCTCGCTGCCAACCATGGTCTCGGGCGTCGAGCTCAGGGATACCATGAAGGGTGCCGGCCAGGACCACGTCCTGCTGCTAGACATTCGCTCGGCGCAGAACCACGCGACGGCTCGTATCAAGGGGTCCCTCAACCTGTGTGTCCCCACGACGCTGCTGAAGCGGGCTACGTTCAACATTCAGAAGCTCCACCAGACATTCCAGGGTGGGAATGGCTCGGACCGGTTTGCCCGGTGGCGCGACGCAACCGCTATCATCGTCTACGACTCGCACACGTCAGACCAGAGAGATGCCACGGCGGCCCAGAACATGATCAAGAAATTCACCAACGAAGGTTTTGCCGGCAGGACTTGTATCCTGAAGGGAGGCTTCGCCGGCTTTGTCGACTCCTTCCCCGACATGGTGGAGCGTGGGTCACCCGCTGCCGCCTCGGCGACGGGTACCAACCCGGCCGGCGGACGCCCAGACGGCAACGTCGCCCCCGTGATAGGAGGCGTCACCCTGCCGTCCACTGCCGGCTGTCCCAACCCCTTCTTCTCCAACATCCGGCAGAACATGGATCTCGCCGACGGCGTGGGGCAGTTTCCAGTCACCCGTCCCCAGGGCCTGATGTCACCCGCGCTCCCAGGCTGGCTGCGCCAGGCAGCCTCGGAGCCAGACCAGGGAAAGATGATATCGGAAAAGTTCCTCCAGATCGAAAAGGACGAAAAGGCCCGCATGCAGACCGCCTACGCCGCCTTTGACCCCCACACGGCCCAGCAGACCCAGACCGTCCAGATCTGCGGCGTAGAGAAGGGCGGGAAGAACCGCTACAAGGACATCCTGCCCTTTGAGCATGCTCGCGTCAAGCTCCAGAGCAAGGCTGGCACCGGCTGCGACTACGTCAATGCGAGCCACGTGCGGCCGTCGGGAAGCAATAAGAGGTACATTGCTACGCAGGGGCCTCTGCCTGCTACGTACGAGGTATGTCGCCCTCCCCACCTCGCTCAACTTGAGAGCCTATGATTGTAGCAGCAGTCGTGACTGATAGATATGACAGGATTTTTGGTCCATGATCTGGGAACAGGACGTACGCGTCATCGTCATGCTCACGGCCGAGTCCGAGGGCGGGCAGCTCAAGTGCCACCCGTACTGGAAGGAGAAGGAGCACGGCCCCATCCGTCTGAAACAGCTGTCCGAGAAGAGGGCCTCGCTAGACATGGACAAGCACCGGGCTGAAGCGACGCCCACGCCCGGCTCTAACTCGACTGGGGATGCCAAGCGGCGTCGGGCCAACACGACGACGACGGTGGAATTCTCGACGCCGACCCCCCCTGCGACCACACCCCAGAAGGATGCGAGCGAGACGCCCTACGTCATCATCCGAAAGTTTGCCTTGGTGCACGCTTCCCACCCCTTTGAGCCGATGCGCGAGATTACGCACCTGCACTTCCCATCGTGGCCCGACTTTGGCACGCCCGCCAAGCCGTCCCACCTGCTGGGTCTGATTGAGCTGGCCAACGTCACACAGAGGGCGTCGATGCCGGTGGAGACGACATCCGTCATGGAGGGCCGAAAGATGAGCGGGCACATGCCCAACACGTGGCACGATGAGCCCGAGGCGGACGCCAAGGCTCGGCCCATGCTGGTGCACTGCTCTGCGGGATGCGGACGCACGGGCACGTTCTGCACCGTGGACAGCGTGATCGATATGCTCAAGCGGTCGCGCCAGGCCAAGAGCGCGGCACAGCGAGTGCAGAACATGGACGAAGTCATCGGTGACGGCGACATCGTCGGGGGCCCCATGGCTGACGGCGAGGTCACGGCTACCTCGGATCTCAGGACCAAGCTGCAGCAGAATCAGCCGCCCGGTGCCTCGACGATCGACTCGAGATGGCTGGGCGACGACTCGGTGGACCTGATCCAGAAGACGGTGGAGGACTTCCGGCAGCAGAGGCTGAGCATGGTGCAGAGCCTGCGGCAGTACGTGCTGTGCTACGAGACCGTTCTGGAGTGGGAGCACAGGATGAATGGGAGGGGCCTCCATACCCGTCGAGCCCTGAGCGGAACGTGGGCGTGAAAGGGAGGACTAGGAGACTAGGAAACATCGCAAGAGGGGAACAGGCAACAAACAAGGAAAGGAGGAGGCCGAAAAAAAAAAGAAAAGGAACCCTCCCAAGACCAACAACGACAAGAAGCAAAAAAAAAAAAACATTGACATGAGAAACGCAGAACATTTAATACTTTAGGGAACATATACCCACACACACACACACACACACACACACACCCCAAAAAAAAGCATACGGCTTCGGGAGCCGAGGAAGGGTTAAATAAAGCAACATGGATATGGGAAGGCGTTTGGTATGATTTCTATCATATTATGTTTAGTTTTCGATCTTTTCGGGTTATACATGCAACGTATATTCATCCCTGACCCTTGATTGATCCAAACCCTGATGAGAGAGGGTCAGATGCGAGCATCAGGAGGATGAGATCATACATGACGATTATGATGGTTCATGCGGCGAAATTGGTTGTTTTGAAGGGGATTATAATTCGGACAGGATCTTTTCTCCATCTCTCCGAAGAAGAAAGAAGTGACAGAAAAAAAGTGACAAAAAGAGAAGAGCTAGGAGGGGGGAGAAGTAAAATGCAGACGAGTATAGCAATGAGTTGTATGAATAGGGGGGGGGGGTAATCTATAACGAACGAGCCGGTTGTGGGGGGGGGGGGGGGGGGGGGGGCTTATAACAGCCCTCAAGCTGTGCTTCGATCTTTTGGTATGATGGTATATATTAGATTCGCGGTGCTGTAGAGACGAAGAAAAAAAGTATTAGTAAGCGTCGACGTACCAGGTAATATCGATGGAACACAGCAATTGCAACTCGAAACTTCCAGGGCTCACTCAGCATGAAGCTTAGCAGGGGGAGTCCGTCCCAAGCAGCAGTAGTCATACGGAGTGATACGAGTAAAATGTACGGAGTACAGACTACATCATAGTCATCATTGCCCGAGTCCCCCTACAGATTACTCTAGGCTTTTTAGCTCTCCCCAGCTATAGATTAGAGGTTAGAGCCTAGGCCTGCCGTGCTCCCAACCGAATCTGACGCCACCCAAGGCCCGCGCCACTCGAGACTTGCACCCCGCGCGTTGGCGCCTTTTCCTCTCTCACGAGCGAGCGAGTCTGCGCATCATAGGGGATTTCCATTCGGTAACTCGGAAGAGGGGAATCCGTACAGAGTAATCTGTACACGAAAAAAAAGAAACAAGGTGTGGCATCTGATCCATCCGCAGTTGTGTGTGGCTGGTGCACTGACTGCACTGCTGATAACAAGACACCCACCTCCCCCAAGTCAAGTCTGACGCACGACCATCCCTCCCCCACCCACCCTTCCATTTCCCGTCATCTTTTTTCTTTTTTCTCTCTCTCTCTCCTTCATCCTCATCATTTCAAACGATCGTTGTCCCAAATATATTTCAAGATATATATATATATATATATATATAGAGACCCCAGCGGCTATCGGCACCGTGGGGAAGAAAAAAGAAGAAGAAACAGGACAGGACGCCACACACACACACACACACACACACACACCCGCACACACACACACACACATACGCACACACACGCACCCACGCACACGTACACACACACACACACACACACATAACATGCGTCG